TTACTCCGCCGATGCAGGCCAGGCGTATTTTCTGCAAAAAGGAATTATTATATAACCACAGTGAGGACTATTTTCGATATTTTATAAAATAAAAATCAACTTACAAATAAAATATGGAAAATGAATCTGATAGAAATAAACAGATTGCCCAGATTGCCTAAACAAAAATAAGAGAAACAAAAGTTAGAAAGTAAGGTTATGTTTAAGAATTTCTGTCAGCATCTTACACAATGTACCTACCTATAAAACAGCAGTTGTTGTAAAATGCAGGAATTATTGAAGGAATAGCTAAAATAAAACATTAATATAAATTTACCTATGTTTTTAAGCAATATCTTTAAACACGTGTACACAAATGAGTATGGTAGAACGATTTATACAATAATGCCACAGGCCACGGAAAACTACACTGCGCATTCGCCAGAGTAGAAATGAGAAACAATCGTAGCCTTAATATGTATGCCATGTTCCATCAGCCTTATTAAATAGTTCCATGTATATGGGGTATTTGTTATAATTGTTACTGGTAAAATAATTAAAAAAATATGGATGTAGTATAAATAAATACGCTTATTTTAGTATAAATAAACATAAATGTATACATATTATTTACTTCTGTCTACTAGTTTATCGCCAACTGAAAATATGGGGGTAAGGTCAATTATATTTAAACGTATAATAAATAACTAGTATCTATAAAAATAACATTTAATTATACGTTAAAAAAATGTCAAATATTAAAATAGTAGATGTTAAACGTTTAAGAAATCAACTATAATGAAATTTAAATGGGAGTTATTAACGAAAAGTACCTATATTATTATAACATTACATAAATTTATACGAATTCAATTTAAATTAACCCAAACGTATATCTTACAGCCTCGAGCTAGAACTACATAGATGATCGAATCATCAGGGAACAAGTATGGAACGAGAATCGGTGAGTTTGGCACTGTTACAATGTAACCAGGAAGAACAGGGATATTAATATGGTTAAAAGATGTAGAAGATATAAACAATACCTGGGAAAATGTTTAACAGAGATAACAATATGAATTCATGCAACTAAACCGATTAAAATTGGAACTGATCTAGTGGTGTTTTCACGAACAGGATTTATTATAAGAATTTTGAAGAATAATGTAGGTAGGAAGTTTTTAATTGCAATGTTAATTTTAGATGTTGAAATATATTTTAAATTACCTACACCTGTCTAGGAAAGTTGAATAAATTTACCGATTATTACCACTGTTAGAAATTTTAGTTAACATTTCTAACTCTTCCAGGTTAATACATGGTCTTTTTGTTGTCGCTCTAACTAAATTTACACTATATAAACCACATTGAAATTTGTGCAACTCATAAATATATGTATTCAAAAATTGTTCTAGGAAAATACTGTTATGACTTAAATTTTATGTAGATTATTTGAATGTAATTTATAATTAAATAAAGAACAAATTTAAAGTATTTACATAATTTTTACAATTATGCAAATATTGATTTATATATATTTTAAATGAAATAGAGGAAATCGTGAAAAAAGATGAAAATAAATAAATAAACATTTATATTTCTTGTAATATTTTTATTAATGTAAAAAAGATATAAAGTACCTAATCTTTTTAAATGCATTACCAACAGAGTCTTCGTTTGTGTTTTATCAAAGCAGGATAGCTCAAAATGGTCTGAACATAATCGCATTACTGCACTTGCAATATTAAAATTGGTCATATCCATATTTTTCGGCCATTTTCCCAAAAGCTCCAATTCTGTAGAAACCTTAAATAACAAGAACATTATTTAATTTAGTAATAATCGTTATAATTCACTTCAGTTTTTATCATTTAATCGAAAAATGTTATTTGCATTCTTGTATGCTTGTGTAAATTAGTAATTGTTTCAATTTGTTTCGACAAAATAGTTAGATCTATTAACAAATTATTATAAACAATAGTTTTATTTGCCTATGAAGAGTATGGATAATCTTTTCCCTTTGTTTTCCACAATAAAAACACATCTCATCGTAACTTGTTGACACAATTAAATGACAAATGGAAGGTTATGTTAAATAACATCTGGTCCGCCATATTTTTTGCCCAAATCGGCCAATTTTTCGGAACGTTTTTTAGGGGGCTATATCCTATCTAGTAAAATAATACAGATCAGTGGGCATGACTCACTAATGTTTATTTGTATACTTGTTTAACACCTTTTTGTTTTCCCACTTGTAGACCTGATGGTGGTCTAAAGCCGAAACCGGTTGTTATATAACTTTGTGTTAATACTTTTTTCTATGTGGGATTGATATTTTGAGTCGTTGCATTTCCAAATAAAATAAATATTCTTCTATTGGTTAATATTTTTAATAAACAAAAATTAGTTATTGGGACCCGAATGAGATAAAGAAATATTGACTTTATCATCTCATTATTATTATTTTGTTAAAATAAAATAGATATCTGAAAATAAAATTTAATACAATAATATTCATATTATAATACCGTTATTATGATAAAATATGCTTAATTCTACATCCTATACTACATTGTAGGCAGTCATTACCTTACAGCCATCATAACGATGTTTAGTTTAGAAACGGTTCGGTTACAGATCCATTTATGATTTCTCAGAAATTTGACGCTATATACACTAACTGGCTTTATTTACTTAATTAATGAACTTCCATATCCCCATCACAATATTTCAATCAATACCTTCTACTGAAGCAGCAAAATATAGTTTCATAAATCCAAACAGAATAAAAATATTACGATATTTTAGTTTTTCAATAATTATTATGGTGGTTTTATCGTTTTTTTTTTTAACATAATTTGGGGATATTTTTACATTAACCTTTTCCAATGGTGAATTAAACAATAAATATTATTATTAAACATATTTACATGAAAAATATTGATGGTACGGGCTCTCCAAATGTATAAAGACGAAATCCCTATTTACTATCAGCGCCAAAAGTACCTCTGTATATTACTTGGAAGCATGGGTTGCTCCATAGCACTGTAAACGTTAACTTCCCTTTTGTTATTTTGTCTAAAGCAAACAAAACAATATTACTGATTTTCCTTGGAAAGACTGGGACCTCAAAAGTTGAAAGAGCACGGCAGCTCTCTAGTCTGGGAGCAGGGTTCGTGGATTATTAAACTTTTAAAAATGGCGCCACTAATTTTTGCTAGAGTAAAAAATACGAAAAGAAGTAACAGACTAAATCAAGCTATCTGGTTTACAATACAATTTCTTTAATCTTTATATTAAAAAGTAAACCCTATAGATAGGTGTATACAAAATGATCAAATAAAAAACAGAATGTTGAATTTTAGTCAACCAAATGTGGTCTAGAGGTGTAAAGCCGTGTGATCCTAACCCCAAAGTTATATTTTAAAAGGTGAAAACAAAGATTTAAAAAAAAGCCTGTCGTTGCCGGGATTCGAACCCAGTCGTCCTTGTTCTCTAGACAAGTACTTTTTCTTCTAGGCTATCAACAACATTGAACTGTCGAGATTCCTAGACAGAAATTTGATGTGCTAGTTTGGGCCAGACGACATTCAGGCTCGTTATCAAATTTTCAAATAGCTCTATACAGCATCGGTATACATGATAAATGCATTTAGTTTTCTTTAATGTACACCAAGAGACGTAAACCTGAATGTGAAATTGTGAATTTATTAAATCTAAAAATGCAAATCGAAATCCGAAAAATCAGAAATAACTGAAATAAGTGGCTGAACAATTTGAAAATTTGGAAAAAATCTCAAAAATCCTCTTATCGTCATTGGGATTATCTAGTTTTGCTATGTTAAAATATATGATCCAAAGCTCTTGCAGAGCTGTGATAAGTATTTAGCAAATGTACTTTAAGTAACCAGTATTAAGTAATTTAAATTCCAAATCTACTTACAATATTAAGTATAAGTGTTTTACGAAACTACTTGAAATATTAAGTATTTTACTTAAAACAAATAATTCAAGTAAAAGTAGCAAGTACATACCTTAAAAATACTTAAAGTAAATTCAATATATTGAAGTAATTCTAAGTACTGAAAATATGTTAAAAATACTTAAAGTACTTTTAAAGATTCAGTATTTTGAAATACTAATTAGTTAAGTCATGTTTTAAGTATATATTTAATTAAAGATCCCCTCTTGAGTTATCAAATTAAAACTCAACATATACTGCCGTGCTAAGCCTAACCCCCGTATATGAAAATATTTAGAAATGGCGGAATATCGATTGTAAATTTCTATTGTTTTGTAGCTTCAACCAACCTTTACGTTATTAATAGTAGTTGTTTATATTAACCAATAGAGGCACTAAATCCTTATGTATACTTTAAAAAATCTTATTTTATTATTTTTCATATTATAAAAACCCATACGAGGATTTTTGATACTTCTATTTTGCTAATTTCCTACCCAAATACCTCGTATTTAGCAAATACGGGTATTTGAATAGTGCCATTGTCGAATTTACTTAGGTAAATCACCGTATTCGGCAGCTACGGGTATTTTACGTTGGGAAACTAGCCATTAATTAAATGAAATAGTAAGACATAATTTTTTTAAGTTACTTTAATTAAAAACAAAAACGAGTACAAAACGTGAAATTATTAAATATTTGAATTACTTATAACTAATGGTAACTGAAATTCTTAAGTACATACATTATTAGGGTAACACTAAAAAAACACTTTTTAGACAATAATCTTTTCTGGAAGGTCCTCCCAAAATTTTTTCCGATTATCTGGCATTATAGACCCTAAAGCCTTAAACAATTTTTTAACCTTTTCCCGTTCAAACCCGTTAGGTGCGGTTTTTATGGAAGGTGTTGGCATTTCACCAATATGTTTTTTAAGCAAAAAATCCAGTTTTTTCCAATCTTCATCGAATTTGCATTTGTAGAAAATTTCAAATTCATTTCTCCTTACCATTAGCTCAGTTATTTTCGCAATATAGAACTTAGTATAGATTTTAGTTTTTTATTTTACTTCCATACATTTAATCTGTACTTTTTCTTTGTTGCTTGATTGTACAGCATTTTTAAAGTCTGCGAATTCGTATGTTTTTCTTTGACGCTTTAGTGATTCTTCCACTTGATGATGGAATGAATCCGCGGACATGAAGGTATGTCCTGATTCAAAATAGTTTATATGTATAGTTTCTGCAGCTACACCTGGTGAATTAACAATATAAATCAAGAAGGACATGAAAGCCCAGTTTTTGTTCTGGCTGGAACAGTTGTTTAGCCACAAAGTAATATTTTTAACATCCCTATGGTGAAGAAAAAATGCATTAAAAGCACTGATAATATCTTCTTGATGTCTCCCACTGACGGCCTCATGCCACAAAACAGCAAACGGAACAAAGTGTCTAATTTTTCCAACGGGCACAAAGCTTTCATTGTAAACTATCAGGCGATGAGGAAATATTGCTTTTTTAAACATTTCCATCCTTGGTAACATAATTACTTTCTGAAGGTCAACAGACACGCATAAATTATCTTTATCTTCATTGAAGTTTTCTTTGTTCAAAGTGTATCTTTTACGAGATTCTGTTGCCTTCTCAATATGCTCTTTCCAACTGCAGCATTTCTCACATTCTTCCTTTAAAGATTCAGCTGTGTGCTCTGTATTGTGCATCTGATAAGATTCGCAGAGCTCACATTCTTCGTTTCCTAACTTGGCAAACGATATATTTTTCGATTTAAGGACTTTTCTGTATTTCTCATATGAGCAAATAAAATCGGGGAATTTTTTTTTAAAGTCTGCAAACATTAGGGTCACATTTAAATCACTCAGTAAATATAAACGATTAGGGGCGTGAACTCTTCTGTAGTGAGACACAGATGCATTAAATGAGTCGATGTGGCTCTCTATTTGGGTATTTGACAATTTGTTAGGAGGCTGTCTACCACGTCGATCTGAATCATGTTGTACTTGATTGTTGCTATTAGCGTTTGCTCAAACTGAATGGATTATCCAATGATTCGTCTTTTTATATCCTAATGTTGTAAGGAAGAAAAAAGACGACTGAAACGCTAATATAATGGCAAATAATGGAGAGGTCCATCTTTCAAGGTAATCCATCTCTCCACGACTTACCAAATGTTTTTAAATTGACACCCTGAATTATTTGAAACTGACGCAAATGATTATATACGTCTCAAGCTAACAGAGCTCCTTCTGATTTTTCACCTTCTGAGTATGTCATAATTTTACTTTGTTGGCTTAAGAACAGGCACTTATTGTGTTTTTCATTAAAAAATTCAGCAATCTAAAAAATGATAACGGCATAATTTTAGGTTAATTCTATACCAAAAATTTCAGTCTGACCTTTATCGGAAATTTTAGGTGCTCTCCTAGCTTGACAATACAACTTTATAGTGTTTCCCGTTAATATAATTGAGGAAACTAAAAAACAGAAACGACATATTTTTAGGCTTATTTTAGGCTAAATCTATATCAAGAAAACATTTTCAGCTCTCGCCTTTATTGGAAAAATTAGGTGCTCTGCTATCTTGACAATACGACTTTATAGAGTTTTTCGTTAAAAATTGTAATAACTAAAAAATGGATACGTCATAATTTTAGGCTTATTTTAGGGTAATTTTAGGCTAATTTTATACTAAAATTAAAAAAAAATCGTCCTTTATTTATAGAAAAAAATTTCCTATCCTTCCTTTATAAAAATTTGGTGCTCTGTTGGCTTAACAACAATTGCGTTATTCATTAAAAAATTCAGCAAAGTAAAAAATATTAATTGCATAATTTTAGGATTATTATAGGCTAATTCTATACCAACATGAAAAAATTTCCGCTCTTGCCTTTATTGAAAAAAGTAGGTGCTCTGCTAGCTTGACAATACGACTTTATAGTTTTTCGTTAAAAAATTGAAATACCTTAAAAATGGATACGTCATAATTTTAGTTTCATTTTGAGTAAATTTTAAACTAACATAAAAAAAATTTCGCTCCTTTTTTATATAGGAAAAATTAGGTTCTTTTCCAGCTTGATATCAAACTACCGGAGCATCTTTGGATTTTCAAATTTTTATTACACCATAATTTTAGACTTATTTTATACTAATTTTGTGATAATTTTTTAATAACCTAAAAAAACATTTCGCTCCTTTCTTTATATAAAAAATTAGTTACTCTGTTGGCTAAAAATGAGCCTAAAATTATGTATTCTCAATTGTATTAACGGAAAACACTATAATGTCGTATTGTCAAGCAAGCAGAGCACCTAATTTTTCCGATAAAGGCCAGAGTGGAACATTTTTTATGTTGTTATAGAATTAGCCTAAAATGGGTCTTACATTATGCTGTTATAATTTTTACAATGCTGAATTTTTTAATAAAAAACGCAATAAGTGCCTCTGGTTAAACCAACAGAGTACCTAATTTTTTCTATAAAGGAAGAAGTGAAATTTTTTAGGTTGGTATAAAATTAGTCTAAAATTAGCCTAAAATTAGCTAAAAATACCTTAATATTAGCCTTAAATTGGCCTAAAAAAACCCTAATATTAGCCTAAAATTAGAATAAAATTAGCCTAAAATTGGCATAAAATTAGCCTAAAATTTTGACGTAGTCAAAATTTGAAAATTCGAAAGGTGCTCTGCTAGCTCAATATCAAGCTAGCAGAGTACCTAATTTTTCCTATACAGAAAGGAGCGGAATTTTTTTTAAGATAGTACAAAGTGAGACTATAATGTGTAAAATTTAAGCCGATATCATTTTTTACATTGCTGAATTTTTAATGAAAAAGTGCCTGTTGTTAAGCCAACAAAGTACCTAATTTTTCTTTTATAAAATGTATAAAATGAGTCTAAAATGAGTCTAAAATGAGTCTAAAATTAGTCTAAAATGAGTCTAAAATGAGTCTAAAATGAGTCTAAAATGAGTCTAAAATGAGTCTAAAATGAGTCTAAAATGAGTCTAAAATGAGTCTAAAATGAGTCTAAAATGAGTCTAAAATGAGTCTAAAATGAGTCTAAAATGAGTCTAAAATGAGTCTAAAATGAGTCTAAAATGAGTCTAAAATGAGTCTAAAATGAGTCTAAAATGAGTCTAAAATGAGTCTAAAATGAGTCTAAAATGAGTCTAAAATGAGTCTAAAATGAGTCTAAAATGAGTCTAAAATCAGTCTAAAATCAGTCTAAAATGCGTCTGAAATGAGTCTAAAATGAGTCTAAAATGAGTCTAAAATGAGTCTAAAATGAGTCTAAAATGAGTCTAAAATGAGTCTAAAATGAGTCTAAAATGAGTCTAAAATGAGTCTAAAATGAGTCTAAAATGAGTCTAAAATGAGTCTAAAATGAGTCTAAAATGAGTCTAAAATGAGTCTAAAATGAGTCTAAAATGAGTCTAAAATGAGTCTAAAATGAGTCTAAAATGAGTCTAAAATCAGTCTAAAATCAGTCTAAAATGCGTCTAAAATGCGTCTAAAATGAGTCTAAAATGAGTCTAAAATGAGTCTAAAATGAGTCTAAAATCAGTCTAAAATGAGTCTAAAATGAGTCTAAAATGAGTCTAAAATGAGTCTAAAATGAGTCTAAAATGAGTCTAAAATGAGTCTAAAATGAGTCTAAAATGAGTCTAAAATGAGTCTAAAATGAGTCTAAAATGAGTCTAAAATGAGTCTAAAATGAGTCTAAAATGAGTCTAAAATGAGTCTAAAATGAGTCTAAAATGAGTCTAAAATGAGTCTAAAATGAGTCTAAAATGAGTCTAAAATGAGTCTAAAATGAGTCTAAAATGAGTCTAAAATGAGTCTAAAATGAGTCTAAAATGAGTCTAAAATGAGTCTAAAATGAGTCTAAAATGAGTCTAAAATGAGTCTAAAATGAGTCTAAAATGAGTCTAAAATGAGTCTAAAATGAGTCTAAAATGAGTCTAAAATGAGTCGAAAATGAGTCTAAAATGAGTCTAAAATGAGTCTAAAATGAGTCTAAAATGAGTCTAAAATGAGTCTAAAATGAGTCTAAAATTAGTCTAAAATGAGTCTAAAATGAGTCTAAAATAAGTCTAAAATGAGTCTAAAATGAGTCTAAAATGAGTCTAAAATGAGTCTAAAATGAGTCTAAAATGAGTCTAAAATGAGTCTAAAATGAGTCTGAAATGAGTCTAAAATGAGTCTAAAATGAGTCTAAAAGTCTAAAGTGGGCCTAAAATGAACCTAAAATGAGCCTAAAATTATGGCATACTCAGAATGTGAACAATCAAAACTGCTTTGTTAGCTTTAAAAAATTGGGAAGGTCTTGGAGGGATGTATTACCTGGAAAGACGGACCTCTTCAACTTTCTAGTTGGATTTGAATGTGCAGAAGCCTACATTGGATAGTTATCGTAGAAAAAGAATTTTCTGTTTTTTAATACTTACTATTTTTTTGTTTAAGTAGGAAAGGGTAAAATAATTTAATAATAATTTTGTAAACATTTTTATTTTGTATTAAAATATTTATACTTAACTAGAATAATTTATGTACAATTTTATTTTTGTAGTACAAATTTCAACGAGCTTATTAGTAAAGAACAATTTTAAACTTAACATTTAAAGCTTTATATACATCAGTCTAATGCTAAAAAAAAACAGTAACAACAATTTTTGGTTTAGTTTTTATATTAAAGCCGCAATGACTCTGGTAAAAATTATAAGTATAATCCAGAAATGTATTATTTATAATACTATTTGCCATCTTTTTAAATTAATTGAAATAAAAATCACAATACAAAAGTCATAAAAATGGGGTCATCCATGAGTGTGAAAAAGTCCAATATTTTCGGTACTATTAGAGATGTTAGATAGGATATTCGACATAACAGTAATTTACGTTACAAGACCGGAAAGTAGTGTTTTGCAGGTCGAGACAAGCAGATTCTAGGGCGAGCCGTAGACGAGGCCTGGAAGTTTGGAGAGACACTAATTTTCGATCGCGCGACGTACATTTTTTTTAAACCGATATTTTGTAGTAAACTCAATTATTTTCTATGTCTAAAACAACAAATTAAAAATCAACGAACTGTCACTTGGCAATATGTAAGAACGTTGTTACCATATTAACGAAATCAAGGCAGACTGTATTATTACACAGCGATCGGAAAAATGAAAAACAGAGACCGGTAAAAGATTTTACCGGTCACTAATGTCTATTTTCCGGCCTTGACGAAAAAGTGTTTAAGACGAAAAAATATCACCCCCAAAGGGCAACTCACTTCACCTCACTCTAAATAATGTAGGTGCGAGGAGGGTGAATTCGCCCCTCTAAGTGTAGTTGAGGGTGAAATATTTTTTCATAATTCGAGAATTTTGAAATATTGGTTGAAATAATAGAAAAATTTGAAGAGTAGGCTGACCTCGTTCGCCCACCCCTTTTTTACCCAAACTCAAGCCCTTTTTTTTTTAGGGGCTTCAAGAGGAACCTTGAAATAAAAAGTGTTGTTCAATATCATATCAATAAATGAGGGTTTTTAAATTATGAGTTTACTTTTTAATTATAATTATACTGAACTATGTTGTATTGTAAGTACACAAAAGTTTATGGTCGCAGATATACAATGGACGAATGTATAAAAATACACAAAAATGTTAGAAACATGTAAATACATATACGTTTTCCTTAAATTTTCAATAATGAAATATGGTCGAATTTCGATCACTGGGCGAACACTAGTAATATTAAAATTTGGAGTTGAATGGTGCCTACCAGTGGTGGCCCGTGTAGAGCTGCAGAACTGCCAAAAAAATGCAAGTTTCTCATCTACATTTTCCAGAAATTATTTTAGACTTTCTAAAATATACGTAAAATAGATTTTATTGATAATCTTATTTTACTTTTATTATTTTTGATCAAAATACTGTTGACAAGAAAATTTCGCTGTTCGAACCTTGTTATTTAATGTATTTGAC